GATAAAGGATCTACGAGACCTTTATAGAATGATCTTATTATACCTTAAAGAGCATTCAGTCTTCGAATGCCCTCTATGGAGAGTAATCCCTTCATTCTTATTGACCAACAAATAACTATGCTATAAGAAGAATGGCATTGTCTGACAGTCGTATGGTTAGAGCCACCTGCAGAGAGGCATCCCCCCCACAGCCCCCCAATCACCAACATTCTCTCACATGCGCGAATTGTGCTCTTTCTCTCTCTCCGTGGAAGAGAGAGAGAGCGTAAAGTTACACGCTCTTTGCAATTACAGTGCAGCAACAACCAGACGCGACGGGTAGGAATTTCTACTGCTGCTGTTACTGTGCAATGCCGGGGCAACATTGCTGTTGGCTGGGCCACCGTTCTGTGCTGAACAGACAGAAGAGAATTCTCTGTAGCCAAACGACGTGCCGTTGCATTAAAATCTTCGCTGGGGCAGGCAGTCGAAGGCAGCAAGCAGCATCAACATCAGTCGCTTCCGTTGACTGCCACAGAGGAGACCACCAGCCCATAACAAAGTGTTCGCTAAAATAGTCTTTTGATAGCCACTTACTGTATTTTGTCGTAGTTTTTGCCATCGTTAGCGTGTAATAATTGGCCAACCTCTTGGCTGCTGCTGTGCAAGTGACTCTGCATGAGAGATAATGTAATTAATGTGACGTCTGCGAGGTCGACGAGGGTCCACGTCGAAACGAGGGATATTTTGTACCAGAAGCCAATAGCCAATCGATTTTGAATATATCTTTTATGCCAAAGAGCAATACCATTACAAGTCTGACTCCGCTCCCTCGATCCATGCTCAATAAATTGTATATGAGTTCGGAGGAATTCACATTTCTGCCGCGGTGAGTAGAAAATGCCGGAAAATGTCGGAAAATGGTTGGTTCGTCGGTTCGTTGGATTTTACCTCCCCTGCCTGTGTTGTTATTTTTGTTGTCAACGCAAATTTGATGCGACAGGCCGGTAATGGGGAATGCAAATGGCAGCGCCAATATCCCATTAGGATATTTTGATAAATTGAGGAAAACTTTTCGGAGCGAAAATTGCAAAAAAGGAGTGGAATTTTGGGTGTTTTCTTACCCCTAAGGGAGTGAAGTTTGCCCTAAAACTTTATTAAATTGTGCACATCATCCAATTTCCAATCTATTCGAACTTTGTTTCTTAAGTCTTGGATTGTCTTACACAAACTATTCATCTATGTATGTATATCTATTGTGCTTTCTTTTAAAAGTCAAAACTTGTCAAAATTTTTATGTTCAAAGAGAGAGTCTTGAAACCTATCGTTTAAGGAGCAAATAGTAGGAAGTAGCAACTAGGAGCAAATAACATCTAAGAACAACGGAGAATTTTGGCTACAACCCACTGCTATTATTTGATTCAAGATGGAGGTCGTCGAATCAACGAGTTCGGTGACCAATTTGGCCTTGGAGTGCTATTCCAGGTTGAGTACCCCCTGCTGACAATTATTATCATACTGAAACTAGAGAGTTTCTAGCGAGAAAGTGTACAAAAAGTATGCTCAAGTGTGGGAATACATGGGTTCAGCGAATGGGAAATTGAGTTAATAGAGGGTATAGATTTGAAGCTCTTCCGTGAAGTCACGTGGCAGGAGGGGGTTGGATGTCCCCCACTGTAGGAGAGGACGAGTTTTGCATCACAAACTACCCATCAAGCTGCAGTTAACCGATAAGTTTTGGCACTTTTTGACAATCTATTTTGCATGATTCCTCCGCTGTGATTCCTCCACTGGCACATGTCGTCATCTCACTTGCAATTTTGTGCGAAAAGTTTTGTCATCACGCCACACACACGCACACGACACGCATACACTCGCGCACTCATTGGGAGAGTTGCATATTCATGAGGAAATGATTATTCCACTAGCCTTCTGCTCTCCTCTCTCTCTCCCTGTTCCACTCACCCGTAGACGTGCTTCCTTTACCGTTCATTCGCAGTGCTGTTGCTCTCTCCCGCTCGGTTGCAGTCTTCCTCGAACTCTCTCGCTCTCTGGCAGTCTTCCTCCACAAAGAATTGCACTATCTTGTAGGCTTTCTACCTCTTTCCCACCCAGTGGAATTCTACTTACCCCTCTCCCACTCAATTGAATTCTTCCGCGTCCCCCGCACTCATTCGCAGTCTTTCTACCTCTTCCCCGCACTCACTCGCAGTCTTCCTCCCCCTCCTGCACTTGTTGTACTGTCTTCCGTCTTTTCCACTTGAAATCTTCTGCCACCATCTCTCACACACGCACACACACATTCGATTTCTTCTGCCCACACTCCCACTCACAGGCAGTCCTCCTCGCTCTCCCGTTGCCTCTTCCCAGTCTTCCTCGCTCTCCCGTTGCCTCTTCCCTTACTCAGTGACATTCTTCTTGCTCCTTCCCACACTCGCATTCCCTCTCGTGTCATTCCTTTCATTCATAGTTACGATACGGCTCGAATGTTCTTGCATTGACTTGCTCTCGCTCTGGCTGTCGTCGTCGGTCACCTTCCCGCTTATCGCGCATTGAACTTTGCTTTGACCTGAAGGCGGCACCGGGCACCGACACCTCTTCCCCACACGCACGCACACACACACACACACACCACGTACACATATCTGTACATGCTTAAATTTGCATTGCATGCTTGGCATTCATTCCCTCTTGTTGGTTCTTTGACTTTTTGCCGGTGCCCGCCCCGTCGTTCAGGTGCCGCGGTTTCCCTTTTACGCTTTATTTATCTAGCCAGCGCTTTCATGTGTTTTTTTTTTGGTTTGCTCTCGCTCTCTCTCTCTCTCTCTCGTAGACTCCTTGACTATGACCCCCTACCTGTCTCCCTCTCTCTCCCTCTGGTTAATTTAAATCAGCTCTAAAGGTTTTTTTTTTGCTACCCTGTAGTTGTGGAATTTAAAGGCATATTGTTTTCAATTCAAGCCATAAACCACGAGTGGGTGTAACTTTTCTACGGAACTAAAATATCGATGGAAACAATCATCTTTTAATTTTGGTACCATAAGTTCTTGACTATCCCTGATTCCATGTTTCTGAATCTCCCTGAAAACTCGACAATTTTAAGAGCAAAGGTAACCATAAGTCTGTCAGATTTCCTCTTCGAAGGATATCCCTTCGGCGTACGGATTTGTTTACCAATCTATCAGATTTCACTACGATGGTCCTCTCTGTAGAGACACGTTTTCTACGACAAATAACCCTGATTAGCGGGGTATCCTCCCGTTTTTTATAGGACTGGTTTTTGTCTGTTCTCTTGAAGTTTTTCCGCTTCTATTTTATTGAAGTTTAAATGCAAATTCAGGCGCTGCGTTGCCTACTTTTTGGGGCTGCAGCTTGTGAGGAGAGGGGCAGGAGTGGCGGCCCTAACAAATGGCTTTCTAAAATTCAGCCCAATCAAGCGCAAGGGAATTTTTGACTTTTATGGGTTTTCTCTCCCTCTAATTGTTATGCAAACTGCTGTTGACTTGAAGTGTTGCCGGCGCACTCGCTCGCTCGAATCTCTACCTCTCTTTTGCTCCTTGGATGCAGCTCCCTTTTGCCCCATCTACAACCCACCGCATTGCTCCCATTTGGCGGTTCAGGCCGCGACCGCTTTGCCAAGTTATGGCAGCAATTAAAACTTTTGTGCTGAACACTTGAAAAAAATGCCAAATACCCCTTGTTGGCCACAGCCTATGCCACCCACCACCCCATGTTCTTTTCTACAGTTTTGCCTCCTGTCTGGCGTGGTCTTTCGAAGAAATGCAAATAATAATTACCATCTTTTGTTTGCATATGGGATTGTATTTCTGGCCTCTGCTGTATTCTATTCACACGCAATAGCGGCATTTTCTTTCCTAATGATTCACTGTACAACCAAAATTCCGAATTCGATTGATTATCTTAATTACATATTTAGGATCGAGATCGATCTAATTTGCAGGATGGCCGATCTATTAGGTTCTTTGAGTATTTAAGTATCGATATGAATTATCGTCCGATAGTTCGCAGAACTAGAACTATGCGGGAACTGGATCGGAAGAGAACTACAGATCGGAGCTGGTTCAAAATTCTAGCTCGCAGAAGACCCAGGAGTTTGAACCAATTCTTCCGGGGGTAGGCCACATTCATAATAGCCTCTGAAAGAAGGACAATACTCGTAAGGAAATGCAGAAAAAAACGAAGAAAACCCCCTCAATATTTGTAATATCCCCGATGGTCTTTAATGGAACACAAAACAAGAAAAGGAAACCGAAGCCGAAACCGAAACCACAAAAGCAAATAAATAACCAACGGGGCGACAATGGTGCAACAGCAACAGCAACAGCAACGTGGGGCATAAAGCACTTATGCCGTGTAATCCCGGCGACAATGCTATGGGGAAAAAGTACAGTAAACACTCGCTCTCCCTCGCTCTCTCTGGCACAACTCCAAATATGATGAGGGGTGGGGTGGTGGGGGGATGAGGATATTTCTTTGGCTTTTGGTATTCTTTGGCGCCCGCATTAGTGTCGCCCTATTGGCGGCCATTGTGATGCCATAATTTCTTGCCCCATTTGAGTGCCGACTCAGGTTGTTGCACTTCCCCAGCAGCGCACAGTGGCACGAGAGAGCGCCAAAAGTGGAAAGAGCTAGAAAGTAATGAATGGAAAGGATAAATGAAACTCAGTATTTTTACACATTCATGTAACAGACAGTGCAACACACTTTTCGACCACTCTTGTGCCACAGTGCCTACTAAAAGACGTCGCCCGCTTGCAAGCGGATTACTTCCTGTTGCCTTTCGTTGTGCCATTTTCCTTCTATTTTGTATATTTCTTTCTTGAAACTGGGCTTTCTTGACTGGGCCCCCGCGGCATTTAGTCGACATGAAATTAAAAATTCAAATTACATATAGACTCAAGAGGGTGGGGCAGACACTGAGACTGATGATTCCTTTTCATTGTGTAGCCCCAAGGATTGACCAGAGACTGAAACTGTTTTCCATTTCCATTTACTTGCAGCATTGCCGAAGAGAAAAAGAAACTGGGAAACGATCAATACAAGGCACAAAACTATCAGAATGCGCTCAAACTCTACACGGATGCCATCTCGCTGTGCCCCGACTCGGCGGCGTACTACGGCAACCGGGCTGCCTGCTACATGATGCTCCTCAACTACAATAGCGCCCTGACGGATGCCCGCAACGCCATCCGAATCGATCCAAGCTTCGAGAAGGCGTACGTACGTGTGGCCAAGTGCTGCCTGGCGCTGGGCGACATCATTGGCACGGAGCAAGCCGTGAAGACGGTGGCAGAGCTGAATGCCCAGAGTACGGCTGTCAGCGCCGAACAGCGAGCGGCGCAGAAGCTCCGCCTATTGGAGACGACTGTACAGACCAACTACGACTCAAAGTCCTATCGGAACGTGGTCTACTACCTGGATGGTGCCCTGAAGATAGCACCAGCTTCCATTCGGTAAAGTATTTCGATTAGCACATCACAGATCGATCCCTTCGAGAAACTAACTTTGAGCTTTGAACCCTGTATCTTGCAGCTATCGTCTCCTGAAGGCCGAATGTCTGGCCTATCTGGGACGCTGCGATGAGGCCTTGGACATTGCCGTAGGCGTGATGAAGCTGGACAGCACCTCTGCAGACGCCATATATGTGCGCGGTCTGTGCCTCTACTACACGGACAATCTTGAGAAGGGTATTCTGCACTTTGAGCGCGCTCTGACGCTCGATCCCGACCACCACAAGTCGAAGCAGATGCGCAGCAAGTGCAAACAGCTGAAGGAAATGAAGGAGAACGGCAACATGCTGTTCAAGTCGGGCCGGTATCGAGAGGCGCATGTGATCTACACCGATGCTCTGAAGATCGATGAGCAGAACAAGGACATCAATTCGAAGCTTCTCTACAATCGGGCACTGGTCAACACTCGCATTGGAGCTCTCAGGGAAGCGGTGGCGGATTGCAACCGCGTCCTGGAGTTGAATGCTCAGTATCTGAAGGCCTTGCTGCTTCGGGCCCGCTGCCACAATGATCTGGAGAAGTTCGAGGAGGCAGTGGCCGACTATGAGACGGCCCTCAACCTGGAGAAGACCACTGAGATTAAGCGATTGCTGCGCGATGCCAAGTTTGCCCTGAAGAAATCAAAGCGGAAGGATTACTATAAGATATTGGGGGTTGGGCGTAATTCAAGCGAGGATGAGATTAAAAAGGCCTACCGTAAGAAGGCACTGGTCCACCATCCGGACAGACATGCCAACAGCAGTGCCGAGGAGCGCAAGGAGGAGGAGCTGAAGTTCAAGGAGGTGGGCGAGGCCTATGCCATACTGTCGGATGCGCGCAAGAAGGCGAGATACGACAGCGGACAGGATATTGAAGAGCAAGAGCAGGGTATGTCTCCCATTTAATATAGTTTTGTTGGCCATCTGTATACTGATTTATCTATGTTTTCATTTGCAGCTGACTTTGATCCGAATCAAATGTTCCGGTCGTTCTTCCAATACCAAAACGGACGCAATGCCTCCTTCAACTTTGAGTTTTAGGCCGAACACCACATCAGCGATGACCACTCACATTCTGCCTCCACGATGGCCAGCGCCGCGACACACAACAACAGATCGATCCACGCACAAATGAGAATCTTTATTTTGAATTATTTTACATACATAGTATCCATATACCCGCATATATCCGCATAGAGAACACAGATTTTGTGCATGTTTATGAACTGAATTGTTTGATGGGAAATCGGAAGAACAGAGAACAAAGAGAAAATTTCTAGTGTATTGTTTCCCACACTGTAAACGTTAGTTTTAATCTCCTATTACATACTGCAGCTGTAGGGTGGCATTCAAACAGTTTAACAAAATTTTCAAATATATGTCAAAATATTTCAAAACTAAACGAGAGGCCTGTGAATGTGTGTCATTTAACTAAATTCCTATATAGAGTTCTTTGGCCCGGCGAGCCATATGCGAGCCGTGCCTGTGCGTGTGTGCGTGCGTCTGTGCATTCAAATTACATAGAGGAATAACTGATTAATTAATGATTAAACAATGCGTAGGCCTTATCGTGTAGCCAACTTTATTTTGTAATCTTTAAGCCAGACACTTAAGTTGTATTTTTAAGTTACAATCAACACCACAAAAAAAAACAAAACAAAACAAAACAAAAACGATGTTAAACACACACAAAACAAAACGACATACACTTTGTAGCGATTTCAGTTTAATTCTAGTTCTGATGTAATTATAAATTGAGAGAATTATATGTGAAGCAGAAGGGCATCAAGTAAAAATCGTAATCAACCAGTAATGGATGTGTATATTTTGGGATGGGCAAAAACGTGAAGACATACAGAGCAAAATATGAATGGAACGCACGGTCTCTTGAATTGAGCGGGCAGCGGAGTATCCAAGTTCTGGATTGTATAAAGATTGTGCACAAACATCAGCAAAGGGGCCGGCTTTTTGCTTCAAACAATGCCTTATATATGTACATATATAATAATTAGTTTTGTGCCAGAAGGGTTTTTATTATTGCCGTACATTGAATGGAGTATGGAGCAAAAGTACGCTTTTATTTTCCATTTACTTCAAATTTGATTTGAAATCGGCGCCATTCAACGTTTTTTTTTTGCAGCCCTAGTCCGGTGTCGATGATCCTATCGATACTATCGACTGTTCAAAAATCTGACGGAGGACACGGAAACACTATAAAATACCATTAACTAAAAATATAGTGTATTATAGGTTTAGTCATGTCCTCTTATATGGTACCGCTAGATAAGCTTGACCGCCTAGCTCTCATAACAAGTAATCTCATCATTCGATCTATCGGACATTTTCTCAACCATCACTATACATTTTGACATCGACAATTTGGCAACCCTAGCGTTGAGCGCGTTGCTGTCAAAAGCCGTAAAAAAATAGGGCAGTGCAGCCATCTTGGTCAAGAGGAAAGAAAAAAAAGTTCAGTGAGGAAGATAATAATTATATATACGATGGAAATTAAGTAAGTCCCGCAAACATCGAATAATGGGATTGACCAAACTGTTCGTTTTCGCTATTTTGTCTAGTTGCAACATTCCTTACAAGAAGAAGAGAGTTGATAATGAAAACGATGAAAATAAAGCTCCGAACTACCAAAATGTGTGCAAACTCAACAAGAATGACTCTACGACCCCAGAAGAGCAACAGGAACACGGGGACCACAAGGGGGACGATCCTCCAGCAGCAAAACTAGCACGGTGGGGGCAGACACTAAATGATTTCTTTCTGTGAAGATCCAACGACTGACCAAGTAAACTGCTTCATTTTCATCATTACAGCATTGCTAGTCAGAAAAATATACTTGGATTCGAGCAATATGAGGCAAAAAACTACCAGAACGCGCTCAATTTCTACAAAGACGCCATCTCGTTGTGTCCCGACTCGGCCTTGTATCACTACAATCGCGGGACCATGTACGAGTATCTCCAAGACTTCAATAGTGCTCTGACGGATGCCCGCAACGCCATCCGATTGGATCCAAGCTTCGGGAAGGCGTACGTCCTTGTGGCCAGGTGCTGCCTGGCGCTGGGTGACATCATTGTCTTGGAGCAGGTCGTGAAGACGGCGGAGGTGAATGCCCAAACTACGCATGCCAGCATACAGCCGCTGGTGCAGCATTTCCAACAGTTGGACGCGGCCATACAGACCAACTACGACCAGAAGGCCTATCGAAAAGTGGTCTACTACCTGGATAGTGCTCTGAACCAGTCACCATTTTGCATTCGGTAAAGTATTATTAGATCCTTGCGGCAACTAAATTGGATGGTTCCTTTTCTCTTGTAGATATCGTCTTCTGAAGGCCGAATGTCTGGCCTATCTAGGGAGCTGCGATGAGGCCTTGGACATTGCCGTGGACGTGATGAAGATGGACAGCACCTCTGCGGACGCCATATATGTGCGCGGTCTGTGCCTCTACTACACGGACAATCTTGAGAAGGGTATTCTGCACTTTGAGAGCGCTCTGACCCTCGATCCCGACCACCACAAGTCGAAGCAGATGCGCAGCAAGTGCAAACAGCTGAAGGAAATGAAGGAGAACGGCAACATGCTGTTCCAGTCGGGGCGGTATCGTGAGGCGCATGAGATCTACACCGATGCTCTGATGATCGATGAGCAGAACAAGGACATCAATTCAAAGCTTCTCTACAATCGGGCACTGGTCAACACTCGCATTGGAGCTCTCAGTGAAGCGGTGACGGATTGCAGCCGCGTCCTGGAGTTGAATGCTCAGTATCTGAAGGCCTTGCTGCTTCGGGCCCGCTGCCACAAGGATCTCGAGAATTTCGAGGAGGCTGTGGCCGACTATGAGACGGCCCTCAACCTGGAGAACACCACCGAGATTGAGCAATTGCTGAGCGATGCTAAGTTTGCCCTGAAAAAATCAATGCTAAGGGATTACTATACGATATTGGGGATTGGGCAGAATGCATCTCATGAGGAAATCAAAAAGGCCTACCACAAGAAGGCTCTGGAGCATCATCCGGACAGACATTCTACCAGCAGTGTCGAGAAGCGCAAGGAGGAGGAGCTGAAGTTCAAGGAGGTGGGCGAGGCCTATGCCATACTGTCGGATGCGCGCAAGAAGGCGAGATACGACAGCGGACAGGATATTGAAGAGCAAGAGCAGGGTATACCTCCCATCTATCCATAGCCATCAATTTTCTAATTTCACTTTGTGTTTCCTTGCAGATAACTTTGCTCGAAATGAGTGAATCCGAAGTCAATTTCGAAATTAATATTACAAAAGAAACATAATAATATATGTATATACATATATACAAAATAATAAAAATAAACAAAATTAAAATCTACTAATATTATATATGTATTTTTACAAAGAGTAAATTAATTAGTTAGTAAATCACATGAAGATGATGTTGCAATGAAGGTTGATAGATGTTGCGAATTAGGTGAATTCATACAAGATGCGAGTTACGTAGTTTGATGTGTTTATCTACATAATTCGTGTAGAGTGCATGTCAAAAGCATGTACGGACATGTAGATGTGCGAGCAGCGTGCAAAAATTTTTAAAAATAACTATAAAATGTAAATAAATCAATTAAATTAAAGTAAAATATATTAAAATATATATGCGTTTTTTTCTGTGTATTTTACCGCAACAGAAATGCGTTAATGTGTTTTTTAACATTACTAATATAAAATATTCCAATTGGCAAATATATTTAGCCCGGGTCCGTTCAAATGTCTGGTTTTGCAACCTATACAAGCCTGTTTTGTTTTAACCAATATAATACCAGTATTAAATCAAATGAAACAAAACCATTTAGCTATTACAATGCTTGTCAGACAAATAGGTACACACATTTATTTTTACGTTTTTTTTTTTTATATCTGTTATCTGTTCTTGTACACACTCACAAAAAAACCCATTTTCGGTTTACCTTCCATGCACACTCGCACAGAACACACTCTTGCACACCACCACACATCGATGCCAAACAAATTCTTGCTAATTTTACAGACAATTAATTTATATATTGTATTGTATTTTTTTACACTTGACTTTTTGTTTTACGGTTTGGACTTTTTTGTTGTTGCTTTTTCACTAGACTAATGTAAAAACTACGGCTAAAAAAACGCAGCAACAGCAAAAGCCGGAGCTGCATTTCATCATCATCATCATAATCATCATCATCTCTATCTCTTTCTCTCATTTAGGTGACTAACTAATTTGCCCATATTTTTATTAGGTATACATTTATATATATAGTATTTGTAATTTATATAAATTAATTCAATGTTGTTTCTCTCTTCTTCTCTTCTCTTCTTTCTTTCTCCTTTTTCTTTTTTTTTTCTGCTCGCTCTGCTTTGCATACAAAAATAAAAACTACTTAAATATTATGCAAAAATCATTACGACCTACGAAAAAATTTACGATAAAACATAAACGGAAAAAAAAATAATTAAAATACATTTCCTTTTACAACAATATTTATAATAGTGTATTTTTTGTTTTACTTTAGTTTCCATTGGTTTTTTCTTCTTTTTTTTTATATATCTTATTTGTTGATTTTTTCATTCTTCAACAAACTAGTGACGACAAATATTTGTATAACATAAGGTAAAAATTATTTTGTGGTATTTTTCTGTTGGTTGGTTTCAGTTTTTTGTTGTTGTTGTTGTTGGGTTTTGGATTGCTGTGTTCTGCGACGACCAGACTTATGTGACTAACGAAACATTTCTGTTTCAAAATAAGGTACAATGATATACACTATATATATATATATATATATAGTTTCCATTTACATATACATACATACATACATATATCCATAGACAGATACATGTATACATAGGTGTTTAATATAGGTTTTACAAGTGCCTTTCTGCATCAATCAGCTCTTTCGGAACATGAGTTTTCCTTTTTAGTAATTCCCCTTCCTTGTCTTTCTCTTAGAGCGAGGTGTATGTCGGTAGGGGTTCGGCTCTGGTAGCTGCCTAGAAGTGGACGAGCGAGTGTGTGTGACCCAAGAATCTAGCTATAAACATGGCAAAATGCTTTACAGGATCTGTTCCGTTCCTCCCGTCAGCCCCCGTCAGGGGCGTTCTCTTCGTCTTTCTATGGTCTATGTAAAAGTGTATTTCATGTGTAATACTGAGATTCTGCTAGCTAGATGTCTCAGGTATATGCGCGCCCCACCTACCGTTTCCCCGATCCACTCTAACCCTCTCTAAACTATTATACGATCTATGTATTTTATGTATTTCGTTATTTAATATTGAAGCACAAACATAAAAAAATATAAAAAAATAAACAACTATTGTTTTTGCAGCCCCCCAAGAACCGAATAGAAAGTAACTTTGGTTTGTGTTTCATTTGCTTATTGTTTTGTTTCGCGTCTCCCTCTCGTGTAAGTACCTTTTCTCTAACCTTTCTATAGCTTTCCCCTAAGTAACGCTGCCCCTCGTCTCGTCCTTTGTACAAGTGGTGTGTGACCCCCTTCGATTCGTGGGGGAATCCTGGCGCAGAACTAAAAATAAATTGTACTGTTTTTGTATTTTGTTTGTTGTTGTTTGTTGGTTGTTTGTTGGTTTGCTTTGACTATTTCTTTATAAATGGAATTTCGTTGCATTTATTTGCCATGCCCCGCCCCGCCGTGCCGTAGCCCAGGCCCAGACCGAGACCGAGACCCAGGCCCATCATCGGTGTCCCGCCCGTCGTCCCAGTCCCAGTCCCAGTCCCAGCCCCAGCTGTTGTACTCGTCGTCGCGGTCGTCCACTTCTTGAGGCGCCACTGTCACTTGGGCAGGATCCGTGCCGTGCGCTCCAGCTCGTTGAACTGTCCGTAGTAGAGGACCTCGCTGATCAGCTTCTCGGCAATGATCCGCTGGGTGCGGTCCATCGTCCGCAGCTTCATCGACACATTGGAGCCCACGAAATCGCAGTCGTCGCGGCTCAGGCTTTCCGCATAGAAGGCGGTGGCTGCCGCCGCTGCCGCTGCCGCCGAGCTGGCATCCTGGGCCGAAACACTGCTCTTAACGTGGCCTGGACTGGCGGCCGATTCAGTGGCCTCATCGTTGTCCGCCTCCTCGCCGTCGGACATGCTCTCCCGAGAGCTGAGCAGAGAGTTCATCAGCATATGGCCGGCGGCACTGGAGGCAGCCGTCAGCTTCCTCATGTTCAGGGGCATGGCTGTCGCCGAGGTGGTGGTGCCGCTGCGTGGCGGCAGGACGAAGGCTCCGAAGTTGGCCTTGGCCTGGGCCGCCACCCGCAGGTCCTGGGCCATGTCCAGCGGCAGGCGGCTCTCCTCGCCCGCCGAACTGTAGGAACGATGCGATTCGAGGGCTGGTGGAGCGACGGCTCCCGTCACGGCGCCACCCACGGGCTGGCCATGAAAGTAGTCCACCATCTCTTGCTTGATGTCCAGCTCATCCGAATGATGGCCATGGTGCGGATGGTGTGGATGGGACTGCTGGGAGGCCTGCTGCTGCTGCTGCTGCTGCTGTTGCTGCTGCTGCAGATGGTGCGGATGTACGTGCGGATGGAGGAGCTGCTCGTGCGCCTGGCGGGGCGTGGAGGCTCTTACCGCCGCCGGACTGGATAGCAGATGATTCTTGTGCGCCTCGTGCATATTGGTGTTGGGTATGGGACTGGATCCCGCTTCGCTCAAGGGCCCCCGCTCTGCGGGATCGCTACCGGGATCGTTGGCGTCTCGACTGCTGCCTCCTCCTCCTCCTCCGCCGGGGCCACCTCCAGGTCCCCCACTTGTCGCGGACTGAGGTGACCGGCGTTCCACTTTGGCCGCCAGTTGCCCCAGCGCTGCCGCCGCCGCTGCATCCTCCTTGTTGTTGTTGTCCTCGTTGTCGGAGGTGTCCATGGTTTTGTGGGGACTCGGCTGGAATTCGCTGCTGCTGCTACCCGGCCCGCCGCCAGCATAGGGGGTACCCGCATTTCCGTACGCCATGGGCAAGGGTACTCTCAGTTGCTGCTGCTGCTGCTGGGATGCAGACCCCACTCCTCCTCCGGCACTGCCACCACGATCGCTGCCCGCGGACCCTGATATCGGCGGCGAGTACTGGCCCGCCGTATTCCAGCTGTCCAGCGTCTGGCTGTTCGCTATCAGCATGGGTATGTTGAGGCCCATCTGCAGGAGAGAAAAAAGACAAGCAAAACTTTCAGATAAGAGCTTTTCAATCGCGCGTCGCGTTCCAAAGGTTCCTCCCCGTCATCGTCATCGTGACGCCGTCTAAAAAGGTTTGCCCCATACGCGATAAGAACCCTAGACCCAGACCTACTTAAGAATCAAAGACCCCACCATAAAGATTTACTCAATGAAAATGAGTTTGGAAAATCCAACAAAAAAGAAAAAAATAAGAGTCCAAGGATATATATATATATATGTATAAAAAGTAGATCTCATTTATATTTAAGTATATTTTATGGTTCTGTTACACGTGTCGCGCGTCATACAACAGCGCTTATCGGTGGAAGTGTTCTACGCATTACAAGCCTTAGCATTGCACGTCAATGTCCCAATAATTCTCTTCGCTTTTACAGTATTTGCTAAATAAATGAGTGAAAGAATACCCCTCTTAAAAGATAGATCCCCCGTTCTAGTAATCATAAAGAATATTCTGTTTCTCTTTGTTGTGATATACGACAGATGTTTTATCTTCATTCGTTATCTTCCTTTGCGAAGAGGAGTTGATAATATACTCGAAAGTATGTCGAAGGTTGAATCTAATAAATTCTTGAGATTGCAAGAAGCACAAGTCTTGAAAAATCTACTATAACGATGACAGCATTCACATGAATGAGAAATTAATGAATCATGTTGGCTTCAACAAAAAAAAAAACTGCATTTCATTGAAGTTTCAGTTTGAGGAATATTTTTTGTACTGATAAGAGCTTTGAGGAAATTTCAACAAAAAAAATCTCCCTCTTGAGAGTGATGGATGTATTCATCCTATCTTATCTATTAACCTCCTCAGAATTTACCATAATCTTTCACACGCCGCTAGTCCTAATATCACATTCATTTGCATACAATATTCCATTCCATTCCATTAAAATTAATTAATTATATTTCAAATTCGATTTGCATTTTGCATAAAAATCTTTACCGTTGGGAACCCCAAGAATACAGCACTGATGTCTGTGGAATTGTTTATATCCGAATCAGGAATAATTATTTGGAAATTCTTATTGTTTTTGTCGGAACATTCCAATGTCGGTCAAAAGCCTCTCTCCTAATGTGGCTTTTTTTATACTCATTGATCTGCTAATTCTCTGGGCAAAAAGAACGAAGATCGAAGTGCTATATACCCTTGTCGAGAGATCGATGGATCCAAAATGTTTCTGAGATTTGTAGCTATGTAGCTTTTTCGTTTGTTATTTATCATTTAATCAAATAGTCACCATTCTCTTTTCTAAAATAATCATACCTTCCCTCAGCAAAGGGTATACAACCAGAGCAGGAGAAACAGAGAGGGATGGCGACCAAAAAAAATTATGATAATAATGAAAAATAAATAATAATTTGACCACATTTGGAATCGTGTTTGGGATTTGTTGTTAAGTTTCTTTGTTTTTGTTGGTCGGATAAATATGAGAAACACACGAAGCGATCAAAACAAATTAGCAGACACACGCAGCCGCACACACACACGGCGCGACAGAAGTGGGTGAAAAAGAGAGAGCAAGAGAGTCGCGCAAGGTGCCAAAGTGCACGAACCTTCTCCAGGCCCGAACTCTGAAGCTTGCCCCCCTGCCCCCCCCCCCCCCCCCCCTCGCCAAAGGCTTACGTTTGCTGTTGCTCCTTCCACGGGGACTCTGGACGGACGGCTGATATTCGTATTGCTGCTCTGATAATGCATGTTTCTTTTATCTGAGATTTCTGATATTTAATATATTCCGATGAAACGTTTCTGAATGTTTACACTTGTTTTTTTATGTTGTTGCTGCCGCCGCCGCAACGAAAACGCGACTCGAACTCGTAATATTTTTTCGGTCCGAAATTATTCTAGCGGCGTAGTAAAAATTTCACGGGAGAGAGGAACGATTCTAAAGAGCGTTCAACTCTTAAGAGCAGCACTTGTTGCGCTTGAGAGAGGGAGAGAGAGAGATAGAGAGAGAGCGAAACTTAACGGTTTCTTTGATCTGATAAAACGAGATAATGTTGTTGCTGTTCTCTTTGCAAGGCAGACATTTCTGCCAAAGTCGGCATTTATTTGTTCAGGAGTTGGTTTTCAAAAAACAACAAGAGCATAATCATCATTAGCTTTCCAAAACCCCAGGAGAACATCATCATTAGTTTGCGTAAAACCAAAGAGATTACAGGTGAGCCTTAGATGGGGGGGCAAAGAGTACGCGAATAGTTGAAAGAGCACGTGCCAGCCGTCTGCGCTTTTTGCTAAGAGAGAGGAGAGCCGAGTATCGGCATCGAGAGAGCTTTCATTAATGACATTAGCATTAACCTACCCCACGTTTGGGACCGCCGCACAAAACAAAAACGCCGAGAGGCACAACTACAAAAACAGTTTTAATGTGGTCAACGATCAGCTCTCTCTCTCTCTCTCTGTCGCCCTACGACTAGCGCTATCTCTGTCTGTCTGTCTGCGTGCGATCTCTTTGATTTTGAGCTCCCCTTCTTCTGCTTCTCCTTCTGCTGTCTACGCTTGTAGCGTCCAGAACTTTCCATCAAAAGCATTGACAAAAAAAAACCCGAGAAGAAGTTTGTGCTTTATAAAGAATTGTGGATGCTCTTTAAAGCGGAATTAATGATCTCAAACCAAGCCGAAGGAAACCAGGGTCAAAGCTGGACTGTAAAAGTAATTAAAATAGCAATTATAATTACCTAAAAATTGTTTCGAATTCCCTTACTTCCATAAATGATTATCGCAACTTTTTAATATTTCGAGATTCGTTTAATTGTTTTTTTCTCTCTTTAAAACACACACACACGCTCAGAAAACTCATTCATAATTTTGTTTGTTAGGGAATCGTAAATAACAGTTGAACATTTCGTGTTGTTTTTCCCAGCGTTGCTGTTTTTAGGTTGTGCCTCTCACACACCCGGCCCCCCACCATCACAAGCCAACCATCTTTCCCCCCGCCCTACAATCAACCATCATCATCCGTCTCGCTTCCTCTGCCACTATCTCTGCCTCACACAATTGTTGTTATTATTGTTGCAGCTGCTTTTGTTGTTTACGCATTCAGAGCAGAGCGTGTATTTGTGTGCCTGTGTGTGTGTGTGTGTGTGTGTGTGTGTGTGTGCGTGTTTGCATGTCTGTATTATTATTTTGTTAAGGCAAATAAAATAAAAACAGACAAGAGAATGAACTCGCTCTCACTCGCTCTTCCCTCTATCTCTCTCGCGCCCGCTCTCTTTCTATGTGTGTGTGTGTGTGTGTTTGTGTGCAACTGAAAAATGTAAACAAACTGATTATCATCCAATCCAATGAATAAATAATACACTACACAAACTACGCGTCGTCGTCCATCGTCATCGCCATCGCCATCGTCGTCGTCGTCGTCGTCACTGCGTTCCTCTGTTCTGTACTCCTTTTGACTCGAGACAAAGTGCATTAATAAGAAGGTAGGGTGCCGCTCTTTATACCTATTCTTTCGCGCTATTTGCATGGTCCTTCTTATCAATATATCTCGTCACTGCCCCCCTCCACCCATCACAATTGTCGCAAGCTCTGCCTCCCCTCCCCTCCCCTCCCTGGGTACTGCTTCTGCTCACGCAAATGTTTTTGAAGTACGATGGCGATATTTTCACAAAAGCGCACACACAGCAGCAACACCAACAACAACAACAGAAGTAAACAGTAAATGCTACACTAACATTAATGAAAACTGCCATGAAAACCGCAAGCGCAAGCGCCCACCCCCCTGTCGGCATGGGGGGGGGGGGGGGAGTCGTAAAATTAACAGTGGAACAAATAGCAAACGAAACTGCATGTGGGGTGCACCTGGCGGTGTTTTAGGGCTGTCAACTCCTCTTAGAGATGTAATGCAATCCCGCTGAAAGCTTTCCTTAAACAGAGCCAGTTATTGTGTGTTTCCAGAGAAAGTTTCAATATTCTTCTTATAAATTCCTCATATTATTCTGTCATAGAATGTATGCAGCGCCCTATATCTTTGAGCTATACAATAGCTTTCTCTCAATACCTTTGAAATGCTATAATTTCGATCAAGTATCAATTAATTTCTTCACTTATGTATTTTCTCTCACAAACACCTTCACCTACATTGTTCTCCGATGTTGCGCTCCCCTTCTAACCATTTAAGCCGGCTTTAAGCATATGCCCGTCCCTCTCACACGATTGAACTTTACAAAAATATTGTAAACAACCAAATTCTTGCATAACTTTCTACAATGACAGCCGAAAAACAACAACGAAAAGACTCCCCCCATGCTAATCATCACCATTGTAATCATCATCAACGTGAAACCAAAAAACTTCCATGCGCTGCGCCGCAGCGCAGCTCTAACGCTGCCCGTCTGCCGTTGCAGCGCTGCTGCGGCGGGCTCTAAACAACTTTGCAATGAATGAGTAAACAAAAACAAACGCCGACTTCGCGGCCAGCGTCGACTGCAGTTGACTGCAGTTGGCGGCTTTTACTACTGCTGCTGCTGCTGCTGCTGCTCTCGAAGCTAAGGCTGCCCTCTCCCTCTCCCACTGCTGCTGCTCTCTGCTTCTGGTTGATGTTCCAAGGTCTCTTTACACAAGGTGGAGTATTTCCGCTCACCGAGTAGCCTAATTTCTCGAGCCACACTGTCGCACGCGTTCTGTGAGAAGACTCTCTGGTACACCCTCACCTTGTAATAGTACACCTTTCTTACTCCTACTTCTGCCGCTGCTTCTGCTGCTTACTCCTTGGCCCCCTCTTCCATTCCCACTACTGCTGCCGCTGTTGCTGCTTATTTGCCTTGCACTTTTCATTCCGCCACCGCACACCCAAGCGCCGCAGGGGGCTATGCAAAGAGGAGAGGTATGGTGTGCTATAGGCCAGAGTGGGAGAGAAAATAAAACAACGCGAATTACAGCAGCAACAACAAGTGCATAATATTCCTGCTGCTACTCCAGCAACAATAGGAAGCACAAACAACAAAGAGCGCGATGGAGTGAGAGAGTGCGGGTGGGGGGGGTGGGGGTGGGGTTGGGCAGAGTGCAAGGCAATGCGTGAGGCGCGTCGTCGCGCTACTGGCTAGCCACAACATAGCGGGACCAAAACAGCAACAAGAAACGAAAACTACCTTCGGACGACGAACCAGTTGATACCCTTACACAAAGCAGGCTCAGGACTACATGTCAGCATCATATACTGTACGGATTTACTGGATACACAGTAATTAACAAATTTCTTGTATTTTTGCCACAAAATGTCCATCGCAAAGAGACCGAAGACCTCCCAGATGGCGCCGAGTGTTCGCAGAAATGAGGCTAGCCGTCGAGTCAATCAGTTTAATGTCAGAGCGGCCAAGTGGCGCAAGGTGGAGCGAAACAAGTACCTTACTGAGGTCTTTGAGGCCTTCATAAACGATACGCCCGAGCCAAGGGAAAAGCTCTCAAAATTCTGTGATACCAAACTATCCCAATAGGTCAAACATGTTTTTCTAGAATGTACTACAAAATTGAGAAATTCATATAAAATCTCCCCAAAAATACTTCCGTCTCTTCGTTTCAAATAGTAATCAACTCTCGAAAAAGGGTATAGAAACAACGGCGTTGTACTCTTCAGCTCCTTCTTCTCTCCTTCTCTTCTTCTTGTTAGTTTCTGTCTTGAGGAAAATACCGCAGAGCAAAACAATTGCAAAATATGAACAAAAATACATAACAATGAGAAAAGCGGGGTGGCGGGGTGGTGGGGCGTGGGGCGGTAGACTGGAAGCGGGAGTGGGCTGATATGGGTGGCATTGGCCGCTAGTGGGCGGTGGGCATGGCTATGGGCGTCATGCCTGCACACGCAAATAATAATGACGCAAAAGCAGCGAAAAAAACACGAGACAGAGGCTAAAAACCAAAAAAGAGAACAACGGTAAAATGACAGCCACAATTACAACAAAAACTGCAAGCCAGGGACGGCCTGGGAACGGAGAGGGGTGCGAGGAGAGGAGGTGTAGCCTGTGGGTGGTAATACGAGGGGTGATAAGAGAGGTCGGGTCGCGCTGGGTGGCGGTAAATGGGATGCAAACGGATGTCAAAATTGAGCATAACAAATGGGGTATTCAGGGCAATGATTTAATTCCAATATTTACACTATTTACAGATAGATATAACGAGTGAAGGAGGAATGAAAGCTGTTTACAGAAATGTCTATAACTAATAGAAATATACTGGACCATCGATAAATTATCTTTCATAATGGAATGGGATTAACCTATTAACTTATGATCTTCTTAATGATCGAATAAATACATTTGTCAATGGCTTGTTTAACCCTTTATTATCATTAATTCTGGTATCACAATAACGAACGTGTAGACTTCAATTACTGCTAAAAACAAGATATATTGCGACCCACTGATAATGATATTTCCTTCCATATTACTTTTTCATTTCTTTGACAAATTCTAGCCAACAATCCGTGTGGTCACACTATTCGCTTTTGTGCTCAAGCTATTTGTCTAGTCATAAATGTCAAAATACGTTACAGGACAACACGGAAAACAATAGGTGACATGACTTGAACAAACAAGTTGCATGCCACAGAAACCTACACCCCACCCGCCCCACACACCTTCTCACTCCTTTTGTCACTCCCACACCTATTCGTTATGCGTCCTTTATTTTACCACGAAAGACCCCCTCAGCCCACCAAGCCCTCTCCCTTCCTGCCAAAAGTCCAGGCGCCAAGTTTCATATTATTTTGCTCACAGAAATTTCATTTATTTTCTAGGAACAACAGCAAAAAGCGAATGAAAACACCCAGAGAGACAGAGCGAGGGCAGCAGCAGCAGCAGCAACAACAACAACGTTGACGCACCGTACTCCTCTTTCCCGCTCTCTCTCTCTTTCGCACTCTTTCCGACTGGCATTTTGTTTTGATAAGTCTGACAAACAACAGCAGCAAAGAAGGACAACAACAACAAAAGCAACAGCAAAACAACAGTAACCAAGAACAAGTGAAAAAACTAAAGGGAGACAGAGAGACTGAGAGAGAGAGAGAGAGAGAGAGAGAGAGCGCGCCAAGTAAAAACAAAAGCTTCCAACGAATCACGGCAGACAGAGATAGAGCATATCAAAGAGAGACAGAGTGAGCGAGAGGCAAAGTGGAGCGGTAGAAACGTCCACAAAACAAAAACATCACTACAGCAACAACTAAAGCAGCCAGAAAGGAAAGCTAGCTCAAGGGGTCGAGGCCAATGATACCCCCTAAAGAGCCATTACATTCAACCAAATTCATATGGAATAATCCTCAGATTTTGATGTTGGTCCAAGGAAACTTTCCTTTCGGTTAGATTTGTTTTATGCTTTACCAACCTCTTAACAAAACATCATACCCTCTAACGGTGCCCGAAAAAAAAAGCAACGGCAAGTGTGCCTGCGTCGCAGCGCATTCTCGAAAAACATTTCGCGGTGCAAAACAAACATTTCATCATACAAAAAAAACAACATGATATACGAAGGGAGGGGAGGAGAGAGCGGAACAGAGCAAACGGCGACGAAATGTCAGGGCCCCCACACACCCCCCTCAACGAGACTGCTGGCCTGGCGCGACAAGGCAAATAACAGACACACACAGTCCAGAGAGAGCAAGAGCGAGAGCGAGAGAGAGACACAAATTCGTGTAGCTGCGGTCGAGGAACGCACACACACCGTCGCAAATTTCTAAGAAAAATTTATGCGTAAAATTTTAATTCTGTTTTGATCGTCAACAACAAAAAAGCACACACACAAGCGGCCACGAAAGCAGAGCCGAGCGTCAGAGAGAGAGAGACAAAACCACACACAGCAAAGCACAACTCAGAGAGAGTGAGAGTTAAAGCTGGTTACGCTCTGCTCTCCCTGCACGAAAACAGCAAGTCACTCGCGCACATGTTTGATTGGTTCGTGCTCTCTCTCTCCAGCTCTGCTGCTGCTGCTGCTTCTGGCGTGTGTGTGCGTTCGCTCCTCTCATTCTGCTAGCTTTTTCCGCTTGTTTTGATTTGAAATTAACACTAGAAAACGTTTTCCCGATTTGTGGTGTGGCAAAAAAATCTCACTTGATAAGAGTTCAATTTACTACTTGTATAATGCTTAAATTGTTGCTAAGCGATAGATAAATCTGCCACACGTGCTTTGGAGGCAAATCAAATAAATAAGTGGTCTTCCAACAAACTGCAGGTCATCTTTTTTAAGACCAGGTTTAATAAAATCAGAATGAGGCAACAGAAATGTTGATATCACGGACAGAAATAAAGAAAATGCTCAATTTCGTCACGAAATCAAATCAACCCAACAAATACTTGTTGCTAACCGAAATATCATACACCCCTGTCCTCCGAGGGGCAATTCCCGCTAATCAAACACAGTGAGGTGACATTGACCACTCTGGGGTTAAGCCCCCAACACTTGTTTGCCGTCTGTCTGTTTTGGCGATTACGCATTTGGGTTATTTTCTGGCCCGCTTACTCACCGCTCCGAAGTATTTCAGCTCTTTGGTCTTGATGCGTCTGTGCTGCATGGCGGGCTGTGTTGTTCCTCCCATTCCGGGGGCTCCCCCATTGCCCGCTGCTGCAATGGTGCTGCTCTCGTAGGCAGCCGCTGCCGCTGCAGCCAGTCCATTGAGCCCATTGTGGTTGGCTGCTGCGGCCGCCGAGGTGGCAACAGGATTGGCCACAATGTTGCTGCCGGCGCTGGTCAGGACACCTCCGACGGGGCCACCGCCCACGCCACCACTGAGGCTGCCGCCGCCGGCCTCCATGAAATCGAACCGCTTGAAGGCGTACCACTTGGACGGATTGGGCTGGATGCCCTGGTAGATTTTCACAAACATTTTATGCTTCTCGCGCCGGTACTGGGTGAGCAGGACGTTCATCTTGCGCTCCACCTCGGCCTTGCTGCAGCCGAAGCGTTCGGCGATTTCCGACCAGGCCCGGAAACGGCACAGCTTGTCCTTGTACTTGGGATCGGCCCGGTTCCAGAGCTCCGTGTGACAGCGATACTGTTCGATGAGCTCCAGGGCATCGTCGTTGGTCCATTCCATGATTTTGGGCGAAATATTGCCAGCTGTATTTCCCGCGTTACCTCCTCCACTTCCGAGTCCTGTCCCGCTGCCCACACCCACCACTATCGCTGGCTGGCTGCTGTAGCTGGGCAGTGGGATTATGTGGGGCTGCTGGCTATGATGGTGGTGCTGATGCAGGTGGTGCGGGTGGGTGTGGTGCGTATTGTGGGCGGCTGCTGCTGCTGCGGCTACAACGCTGGCCGGATTGAAGTTCATTTGCTGTTTCGCTCACTCGGTGGGGTGTACAGTGTGTCTGTGTGTGTGTGTGGTGGCTTGTGGTGTTGTAACGCTGAGCTTTATGTTGCACTTCTGGCCCGCTATCACTCACTAGTTGTCTCGCTCTCTCTCTCACTTGTTCTGTTTCTTTTCTCTCAGGGAATGTCGCGCGAAATGCACTCAATCAACATCGTCTTCTGTTCGTCTGTCGACTGTGTCTCATTCTCTTTCATTTAGCACTTTTCTTCTGCTTGGCAAATAACTGTGAAGAGAAAAGGAACAAATAAACGTTTTTTAGTATTTTTATAGTATTTTTAGAGCATTGATTGGATATTTAAGTATTTTGGCTGGTCGAAATTTTTTGATATAAAAGTAATTTAGTATACTTTGAAAATTTGTGGTATTTTTTCAAATCAATCTCCGTCTAAAACAGAAATTCTAAGAAATATAGAAACACATTTTTATAATTTTGTGCCTGCCTTTACAGCTTTTGGTATTTAAATACTGAATCTTGAGGGCGGACACCTGTGGTTCTAGCAACAGTGGTGTCCCAAGGAATATCTCCGTCTAAACACAGATTGTAATGATATAGGGGTTCAGCAGTGGCCCTCCATACTGCCTTTGGCATTTGAATATTTTCCTCTACCCCCTCAGCACGTAGATCTGACGTTTATCGTTGTCTGGCTTTGTCACAGTGTTTTCCCGTGATTGGAACAATCCGGCCCTGACTTAAATGATAGCCGTGACTCACTCAATCACGCACACGCTCTCATGCAGCGCCACCGGGCACTCAAAGCATATTCAGCGAAACTGTTTACGGCCAAATACGTGTGCAATCCAACGATCGGGGCTGGTCATTCGGACCCACTTCTGTTAGCTCTGTTATTCGTGTGGCCCGGCCGCCACTCCACCCGGCAAACATCGGCTATGAGTAGAGGTGTTAATCAGAAATAGGAAATTTTCATGCCAACAACTAAGCATGGCAAAAAAGCAAACCCCTTCATAGAGACTCGTGTACTCATCGTCATTATTAGCCAACTGAAAGGGGTCTCTCTCTCTCCCTCTCTCTCACTCTCTGTTCGGTGGCAGTAAACTTGTTAATTGCTGGGGATTTTTATTTGATTTGGCATATAATTGATAAATTGAAAGTCCATTGCGAAAAGTCAACCGACATTTTTCCAGACCTTTACGAGTATGCGGAATGTACGAAAGGGGAACTAATCTAAATATTTTAACGACATTTAGTGCAGTGCCAAAGCTGTAAAACAGTTGTGGGCATGCTCTTAATATTTTAGAGCGCAAATAAATTAATTGGAATTAAGTTTCTTAGAAAGAAAATGTTATAGAAGGAATTAAAGATCAACAGATCTTGATTATGCGACAGTAAAGCATCGATTGCTTTGATAAAGAATCGATTAGATGTTTGAAACTTCCTACAACCTTTAAATGGTTTATTTTTGTAGTGACTTAACTGATTTCATAACGAACCCCTCTGATGTTTGATTGCAATAGACATTTAATAATACTGTAATGACAATTCTAATCTGATTCTTTGCCCCATTCGCACTCGAATCGTTTTTCTGTGGTTAAAAATAAACTTTACTCTCGACCTTATCCCGAAACATGTTTAGAGAAGATAAGGCCCCGTGGATGTTATCTTCGCTTGCATCTGATGATGAAATAGCTGTGACGTAGATTTATCAGCTATGTTTGCTCATGATATTCCCCGTGCTCGTGGCTCAGGAAATTCCATAACCTGTTTTCTGGAATCTTATCCCCAAATGGAAAATCCGAGTCCAAGTCCGACTCTGATATTGCGTTGTTTCAAACCAAATCGATTTCGCATCATTAACGAAACCCAATCTGAACTTTAGATGATCGACATTTGTAATCTACTTGAACAAAAAGCAACAAAAGCAAAAATCAAAAATCCAAAACATGCTTTCCCATTCAGAAATTCCGTATAAAATCAGCAAGCAATTTTTTAATCAGTTTACTAAACACGTCATCGCCAAAGTGCCTGCCTAGGTCAGTGGCACTTAGTATAGTATGCCCCGCGATCGTACATATATTATATAGTACATTCGTTGGGTTAGTTTTTGTTCTATATAGAAGCGAGTCCACGGCGCATGATGTAGCAGTTTTTCTTAAAACAGATTTCGGTATTAACATTTTGACATACACAACGTTTATAGTCGGGGGAAAATGTCGCAATTTGTACAAAATGCCTGGCGACCAAGAAATTTCTGTTAAGAAAAAGCGCGTGTGTGTGTGTAAATGTCACAAGTCAACAACAAAAGCAAGTAAGAATGATCGAGTCGAGTGTGGAGACTACTATATACCTTTTACTGAGAGCAAAGAACAGAAGAAAATACGTTTTTGGCAGTACTTTCAAGAACATTTCCGGACGTTTTGATCCAGAAAGTTGTTCGAAACCTTTGAGATACTCTGCATAATTTAATTGAAAAATCACCCACAGAATATAATTATATATTATGTGAAGACGTGGCTTTATCTCGATTGGATAGGGACATAGAAAACTGGTAAAACAAAACCCATTCTGTGCGTGGATAATACAGAGGTTCTCTTGACGATACTGATGACTTTTTCAACATAAAAAATACTGAATTAACAGATTTTCCTGCTTGACTGCTGATCCTCTATAAGAATCTTCGTCGAGTAGGATATACCCTCTCTTCCTGCACGATTACCGATGGGTATGACAACTACAACGGCAAAACGATAACAACAAAGATGGCAAGGCGAACAGTGCTTGCTGTGCGCCTCGTCATTCACAATAGACGGAAGCGTAATTCGCACACATTCACACATAGACGACTGTACAGTGCACACCAGGGACGACACGTGCGCTTTCACTCGCACACACGGCCATGCTGCGCATTATACTATGCGGCATCCCGCTTTTACATCAATCTTTGTCGAACGTAGATTTTTGCTTCCTGGTCGCATTCGCAGTCCCAACGCAATTCGCTTTACGTTATTAGCACTTTTCGTAATAGATGTAACGTCTCTCTTTGTGCTTTAGTACATGATTTAGCACACCTAATTTTCCTTTAATAAATTGTTTAGTAATTGGCTCTCTCTCTCTCTCTCTCTCTCTCTCTCTTCCTCGGGCACAAATGTTCGAGAAGTACAATATTTCTTTGTGCGCAGATTGCGACGCTGCGCAAACAGCTGGATGAATCATAACGGTAAACACACACAAACTCGGTGGCACTGGGAGTGCAAAAGAGATGGCAGACACGAAGCTTATGAAAAAAACGTTAATTTGTTTTTTTTTTTTTTAGTTCAGTTTGCCGTTTGAATGTCTTGCGTGTATGGCTTTTTGTTTTGTTTGTGTTTTTTTTTTTTTGTATTTAGTTGTTTGCTTTGCTTTGGCTGTTTGCGCCACTTCTGCGTCAATTTTTAGACGCGACACATTTTGGTCTATTTTTAGAACTTGTTTTTTTACGCCACGCTGCCTTTTTACGCACTTTTTCCGCGCTCTCTCTCTCTATCTCTGATAGATTTTGTTTAAATTTTCAATTGAATTTCCCATTATTTGATGGATATTTTCCTAAATTTTGTTTTCCCCATTTCTGGTCGGTCTTTGGCCTCGTTTTATTTTTAAGTAGCACAGTTTTGAGGGATTTACTTGGAATTCTGCGGTCGATTTTTATATATGACCGTGCTTTTTTTTTGTATTCTTTTCGAATGTTGTTTACTGATTGCGTTTATAGATTTGGGTTTTTTTCGCTAAAATTTAATTTGCATGTCCGTGCCTGTCTTTTCGCTGTTTGATTCCCAAGAAAAGCGGGAGGCGCATGTGTTTGTGGCCAAAGGCGACGGCGCGACGTCCGGGGGCTTTTTAGCAAGAATTCGAAAATGTCACACATTTTATTGGACGACTTTTGTAATATGAATCACGGGAGTTTCAACAGGAAGTTCATTTTTTTTAAATAGTTCTCGGTGACATTCTCATTGGGATTTTAATTTATTTTAGTTATTGTACACTTGCACTTGTATCACATTCTGTTCACGTTTTTGTAAGCTTCTCCGCCCTTTGATTGATTATTTAATCTGATCTGTTCCACTGTAATATTACAAGTTAAATTGGATAATTTACGAGCTCTCAAAGGTTTTTGCACAACTTTAGGCACTTTTAAGATAGTTCTTATTTTAAGTTTTTAAACACACATTTTCTTGAATTATATTCCACTTATAGTTTTTCATTTCAGACCAAAATGGGGCTTTTTCTTACAGTATTTTAAAATTTTTTTGAACACTCCTCCCATTTGTATATTTTAAAGATTTCTTTGGGCACACACTCGCAACAACCATTTTGAATTCGCTTAAAACTGTTTCCAAAAAACCGAATCGCCAAACCGTTCATTTGCATAAAATCCATGTTATCCACAATTTAGTTTCTGTTTCGCCTTTTGTCTCCGGCTGATTTGTCATTTTCAGTGAAGATTTCGGCGGCAGGGGCAGACGAAGAAGAAGGCGACGAAGGAGAGAAACACCAAGAGGCCGACAAAAAACAAATGAAACAACGCAAAAAAGTAAACAACATAAAAAACCAACGAAAATTGAGCACAAAAAACTTAAAAATACATTTCAAGGCGTCAAATAAAAAACCAATTACAATCGAAACACACACATTTTCGAACAGATACGCACAATCCGTGAAAAACAATTTTGTAAAAAACTTTTGTGAAAATATGACTTTTTTTGGATTTTTCCAATTAATTGAAACCCATTTTTTTCAGACACAAAATGTAAGAAGAAATTCATATTCCTGTTTGTTTTTGGTATGTTTTCAATTTTGAATTGAGACACGCACTTTTGGGCACATTATTTATAAATAATTCTCTCTGAATCCCCAAGGTTTTTTTTTTGAGTACTTGTTTCTTTCTAAATCCAAAAATATTTTCTGTACTTCAAGTACTATTTTTGTATGGTATTTTTCGAAAAACATTTCCTTGTACTGTTTTAGCTGTGGCTTGTATTTGTTTTGCCGTTATTTGTTTAGCAAACACACAAACACAGCAGCAGCAGCAGCACAGCAGGAGGCAGAGTCATAGGCTTTTTCCATCTCACTTGCCAAAACAAACAGCCTCACACACACACACACACACACACACAGGCGCCCACAAATACGTAGATACGCACTTGCCTGTCCCGCCGATATTTACCGCTATATACACGCCGTGCCGCTGTTGCGCTTCTTTGGGCAAAAAATGATTCTAAACCGTTACGCGCGCGTATGTAAATGATAAGTTTTGTGGCGGCTCTTACGGTACCGTTACAACCGCTCGCGAGCAACGTCTGATAGCGTCTGTTTCACCGTCTGAGCTTTCCCGACAAACACCGACAAACTTATTGAAATCGATTTGTAAACGCACACAGGCAGCAGGCGGCGGCAGAGGCCGCTACGCTGACGTCTCTGCCGGCGGCGACAGCGTACAGTAAACAGTTGTTTCGTGGAAAAACAAAACGAACATCATAATGAAGTTCTCTTTTCGCCTGTTGTGAAATTCTACGGTGCTTTGTTTGTCATGCTTAAAGCGAACGAACGCGAGAGACAGAGAGCGAGCTAGCGCAAGAGCGTGAGCGAGCAGTGTGAGTGTGCGAGAGAGAGTGCGCGCCAAAAAAACACAAGTCCATTGTATATGAAAAAGAGGGTATGGAAATCCCTCCATTTGACTGACGTCAGGGAACATCACAGGTTTTTGATAGAAGTTTTCTGCTTCTACTTCGGCTTATATCTTAAATAGTGTATGGATTATTGAAAGGTATTCCACTTGGCCCACTATGAGAGTACAAATGCAACTAATGACCTGCCAACAGCTCCAACAAAATGCCACTGCAGATCGGGACCCGACCTTCCACTCAATATACCTTGCACAAACAGACACAGACAGCGACGCCGGCTGTGACTGCGCAGTTGTTTTGATAAAGTGAAAAAGAAACACGGCAGCAGCAGAGCAGTAACAACAAGTATGAAGGGGAAGGAGGGCGGTGGAAGAGCTACTACGTCTGGAGAGGGGTGGCGGAGGAGCTACTACGATGATGATGATGACGATGATGAGGAGTTTTGGAGAGAGATGACGAAGAGACGTTCACGGGAGAAGGCGACAACTGCTTCTTGGGCCGCCAGCGCTGCCGCCGACTCACACACACCACTACATGCGCAGCGAGTCAAACAAACAAATAAAATGTGAAGCAGAAATGGCAAAAAATTAAACAAACAAGTAGACAGGAGCGGTTCACCGCGGGCAGCGGGCAGCAGCGGCGACGTCGGCGGCAGACCTGGAGTTGAACGAACCGAAAGACGACCAAGACACAAAAAAATCAGCTCAACGGCAGCTTCGCGCCAAAAAAACATCGACATTTCTACTACGCCGTAGTAAAATTCCTAAAACAAAAAAAGCGTATTCTCGATTGACATTTTGGTTTTTACTTCGATAAGGTGGGGACGCTGGGGATGTTCCGTTGTTTGGGAAGTGGGAAGAAATCGGGGAAATGTTCGTGATAAATGCTATCCATTTGTGGTACAGGGAAAACTCCGCCAGGCGGATAAGATCCCCTGCGCTCGGAAGTTGTGATGGAAGGTTCTCGAAAGTAAACGTTACACCCTTACTGGTAATGTTCCTTTTACAGAGCTTTTACTGTACATATTTGATTATATTTAAATTCCAAAGTTTTTCCTCCCATAGCGAACAAAATAGTTCCTGCTTTTCTATTTCTGCTTATTTTCTTTCGTTTTTCTCTCTTTCTGTTTTTGTTTCTATTTATTTTTGTTTAGTTTTGTTTGCTCGTTAGCCCAAGCACGGGGTCCAAGGGGGCCGCAGCAAAGGGCAGGTGCTGTGCACGCTCCGTTCGCTGCCGCTGTCGCTGTCACTATCCATCTCTCTCTCTCTCTCACACCATCTCACTGTAGGCCTTTCCATCCTCCTCCTCTCCCCACACAGCATGGTCTGCTTGTTTGTTTGTTTTTCGTGCCGTGTTTTATTGTTGGCCCCTTCCCCACACCCCCCCGCTGCTCTACCGCTTGGTGCGTAGTTTTTACGTTCGTCATCGTTCGTTCGCTTGGTATTTCCGTCTTCTGCCTGCGCCGGCGACGCTGCCTTGGCCCACGCTCTGCTTTGCTCTGCTCTGCTCACTTGCTGTTGCTGCTCTGCTTTCTCGCTGCTACTAAATAGTTAGTTTGCCTTGAGCGTCGTCTTTTACAGTTGTTGTTTGGTTTTCTGCTATGCAAACAAATTGCATCTGTGTGCATGTAATTATACCCTGCCTGGGAGAGGGTATGATGTCTTCGGACGAACCCTGATGACCCTGAACAACCTCTTGCCACAACCTCAATTATTAAATTAATCTACACAGCTAATGGAAATCACACAAACAACCGATCTACGAAGGGTATCCTAAGCTTCGGCCCTCGAACCGAATTTCATTCTTGTTCACATTTCTATTTGCCTGCCGTTTCTCTGCCGCTGCTCTCTGGCTTTGTTTTTGTCGTTGCTATCTGTCCGCCGCTGCCTTGAACAGCTCTGCTGTCTGTCGCAGTCGCTACCTCTGCTTCTGATTCTGCTTCTGCTGCTTTGCCTCTGCCAAAGTGCACTGCGTTTTTAGTCGCTGCGTGGGAGGCGGTTTGGTTTTCTTGTTGTTTTTGCCTCTGCTCTCGTGCGCCAGCTCTCACGTGCCGACGACTGTAGAACAACAGCAATAACAACACGACGCTGGGTCGTCTTTCAGCTTGTTGTCCCCCACACTCTTTCCTTATTCTAACCCCGTCCCTGACGCTCTTGCTAGTTTACGATTCTCATACCAATGTCTATGTTTCGTTGGTTTTTGGCGTGCATTTGGCGCACTGTGGTGTTCTTTTATAATTGAGAGAGTTGGAATAGGGGGTGCACAGTGGTCCCTAGTTTTGGTTTTTGTTTTTTAAATTTCTTTTTAAGGTATTACCTTGCCTTGCAAGGTCATCATCCAAAAGTCTTATCAGCTTTATTGTACATAGTCATATGGCTCACACACCTCTTCAGAAAAGTAATGCATCATCCAGACCGGGCTTTTTGCGCACTTTATCCCACAACTATATGATAACATGTGTGTTTAGCGGCTCGATTATATTACCGGCAATCAATGCTTAATGTATGCTATTATTTAATCTATACCAGAACTGCCGTCCCAAACAGAACCGCAAGTCATGCTGCACAGCGCACATTTTAATCGATTTGACCCACTGTGAAGGACACATGGAAAATGCTAATTAGTACAAATTCGTTTTGTCACAATTTGACAGAAGCTTTTCGAGTGACTCTCTTTCTTTTTGTGTTTCTATTTTGCGAATAATCAAATAAGAAAGTTCGACAGTGGTTCGTGCTGAGGGTGGTTCGTGGGGAGGGAGGTCAGTGGGCTAAGTGCTTGTTGGTAAGAGACGGGTGGGTGTTTTTCTGCTTCTGCTGCGGGTTCTGCCCTTGCTCTGCCTCTGTCGACTTCGACGCTGCAAACAAACACTTGTTTGCACAGGAGCGAATGAATTCCGACGACCGAGAGAGAGAGAGAGAGAGTAAACCCGAACGAGTGTACGATTTGAGAGAGCAGGCGCAAAAGGCAGCTTCGTTTATGTGTGGGTGTGAGTAAATTTACAACTAGGAAGCGTCGTCGACCGAAGCTCGTGGCAGCGACGTCGCCGCTTGTTTACAATGTTTGTGCGTGGGAGGGGGCGGGGAAACTATGGGACGGGGAAAGTGTGGCCATGGAGAGCAGAAATTAAGACGTGTCGAGTCTTGACCCAAGCAGAGAACACCGCCCCCACAAAGCCGACAGCAGCGATAGTATTACTGCTGCTGCTGCCGCTTCTGCTGGCGTCAATGACGACGCCGATTTGAACGCAACTGAAGGTCATTATACATTTCGCATTTTGCGCTGCCCGCGTCTCGATTCTTCTGCCACGGTCTACTCTCTGATATGCAGCGTTTGAGGGTATATCGAGGTTTTAAAGCAGTTTGTACCTTTAAGGGCTTAATAATTTTTTGCTTCTTTGCTCAGTTTTTAAAACTAGATGCTTTTTACCCTATAGTTTTGTAAAATTTTTGGAGTAAGGAGTATCTTTTGGTTCATCTTTCCTCGAAAAGTCTGGACTCTTGTTTTTTTGGCCTGTCTTTTTGTTTTGTTGGACTTCGGCTGTGGAATTGTGTAAACAGCAGAGACAGCAGCAGCGACTGAGACGCCGACGGCAGCAGAGGACAGGCGGCAACAAAAACAAAGGCAACGCAGGGAATGCGAGTAAACAAAAGTTATTTCTTTTTTTTTTCCAGAGACAATGCAAGAAAGTAGGGTCTCGGCTAGGGGATGCAGGGGGGTGGGCGAGCATAAGACTAGACATGTACTGGGCCTGGGAGGATAGGCACGCAGAGAGACGGAAAGAAAGACCGAAAGCAAAGCTAATGAAGATGAGCCTGATGAGTTTTTGTTTCTATACCCTGTCCAAAGAGCACAAATGTTTTTAACGAAGAGAAGGATTTTTATCAATTTCATAGAGTAAGTATGGATATTATATAGTGTGATATTTGAATAAATTAAGTAAAGAAGAAGTCACTTGCTGTTCAATTCTTTGGATCTCATCGTAACACTGGTTTAGGAGTGTTTAATTATTATTAGGGATAATCTAAAAACTGTGTCAATACAAATTCATCTCATACTAGATTGTTTTGGACCTACTATAGCCCCTTATATGCACACGATCCGCAAGGGTATTAAATGCTTCGATCTGAAATGCTAGCATTTCTTTCTTGTAGTTATTTTGCTTTTCGGTTGTCTTTTGTTGTTGAGCTTCGGCTGCAAAAAATATGCAAAACAGCAACAATAACAACAAAGGCAACAAGAAATACAGTGTGTTCGGGATGCAAGGCAGCAAAATACGCAAATAGAAGCAATGAACTTAATTAGTTGTTGCTGTTGCTGATTTTGTTGTTGTCGCGGAGCTTTTTGTGGTAGAGCGAATGCCAGAGAGTGCGTGTGAGCCTGTGTGTGTGTGTGTGTGTGATTGGCTGCTGAGATTTGGAGAGTGGGCTTTGATAGTGGGCTGCGTTTGCGTATCTTTGTTGCACAGGCGACAAAGGCAAACAAAAATGAGAGAATTTTGGAAATGGATTAAAGTAAAATTTTTCACTAATTGTCAAATTTTGTATTATACAAAAATTATGTTATTTATGAGGCACTGAAATTCCCAGGAGGATTGGCGGAGACTCCTAATTTATTTTGTTGTCTCTCCCACTTAAAAACAATTCGCAAACCTTGCCAAAACTTCAAGCGGATGTAA